CAAGCCCATGGGCCTCAACCATCACACTGGTACTTCAGTGTTGCTCAGACACCTCTGCCCTCCTGTGCTCCTTCCTCCACTGCTGCGGGTTGCATCCTTCCTGCCTGACACTCTMAGTGATTTGCATGAGCAGGGCTGTGATTCCCACACTTTCACTGGCAATAAGGCCAGTCAGATATGCCCCGTGACCCCACTTGGAGCTCCCAGGTAAGTCACCTGCTCACCTGGAGCAGTGCTTTGCCCAAATTAGCACTAGTTTCCCATGTGAGGCTGTCTCCTGCTCACCCGAAAAGGATCAGAAGGTCTGACGTGGACAGACCAGGTCACACTTTCCAGTTTCTTTCCCCTATCCCAGCATCTCCAGAATGGAGTTTTTCACRCCAGGGGAGATGCAGTGGTGGGTCCCAGCACAGCTGCTGAGCTGCTGTGGGTGCTGCACTGGGGAGGCTGTTTCCAGAGTATCCCAAATTTCCAGAGCATCCCAAGATGAGTGCGAGCAGGACACCACCCATCTTGGCCATTTGGTTTGACTGTCTGATTCTCTACAAGAGACCTTAATACACACTAATGTTTACACTTTAAGTACTTTTATTCCTTTACAGGAAGAGGAAATGAAGGGCTATAACGCTGCTGATTTTCCAGGACTGTCTGGTGAGTTAGGAGAGCTGGGAGCCAAGCTCAGAGCAAACCCTGTAGCATCCAGCCCCACCACATACCAGATCCCAGGGCAGGAACCCAGCTGGATGCAAACTGCCGGGGGGGGGTGGAGGAGCTGGAGCAGCAAAGCATGGTCACACAGCAGGAACCCCTTCCCTAGATCCTGTAAAATCACTAAGGGAWGCCTGGACTATCAACAATGTGTCCAAGGCCAGGTTGGACGGGGCTTGGAACAACCTGGGATTGTGGAATGTGTCCCCACAGCAGGAGGTTGGAATGAGATGAGATTGAAGTTCCCTTCCAACCCAAAGCATTTCACGGTGTTTTTTTTCCACAGATTCTGTGGTTTTTCAGCTGTGAGACATTGAAATGAAACTCTGAGGAGGGCTGTGTTTGTGCCACGGGGGTCTGACTGATGGTACCACCTCTGTGGTTCACAGCCCCTGCATGCAGCTGCTTGGAGAGTTATTGGAAGAGGAGAGAGCTGGGGAAAACACCTCCAGGAGGYTATTTGGAATTTTCTGCTTTGCAGATGCTTTCTGAGAGGAGATGCACCCTCTCCCCATCAGGCAGCTTCCTGGGCCACAGCTGTGGACAGCTGCAGCACAACAAAATTCCCWGGCTGCAGGGGCTCAGACTGGACAATGCTGGCTGAAGGACAGCTGTAGGGCTGGTGGGACATGGTGCTGCTGCAGCCTTGTGGGTCAGAATGTCCTACACACACAGGCAACAGTTGCTGGACAGAAATCATGCTGTCACTGAGGCTGGTGGGGAATTTCACCCAGACAAATCACTGAAAGCAAAAGGCCAATGAGAAGGGAAGCAGAGGGTGCCTCCCACATCTGCAAACCACCTTTTCACTGGCTCTGGGGCACTGTCCTGTGACAGGGAGAGTGACAAARCCCTTTTCTGGCACTTAGGGGGACAGAAGGTTTGTTAGTGAATGCTGGTGATAAATRCAAAATCCCTGGGACACAGCCTGCTAAACTAAAGGTTGGCAACTCATAACAGAAAATTTTCAGCTTGAGGTGGCTTCTGAAAGATATTAGAAGTGCTGRGTTTGTTACACTTCTCAGGAAGGGATCAGAGTGATTTCCAGTTGGGRTTGTTAAAGGATGTGGCAAGTTTACCCAGAAATTTACGGGGCTGTGCCCAGACCATCSATCCAAGGGGAGTGCTGGAGCAATTCCCATAGCTCCTGAGGCACTTCAAAAATACCGCTGTCAGAGTCCAGGCTGCAGAGCCAAAGTGACATTTAAAAAAAAAAAAAAACAAACCACAACACTTTTTGTAATAGGGAACTTGGAGGTAACAATGCTGCTGGCTGGTAAAGAGGAAAATCTTGCAGGATTTGGCTGTGTCCTTACTTGTCTACCAAYAGAGACAGCCTGGGCTCAGAAACTGGTGATCCCAGGCTGGAAGTCCAATATGCTTGGACTTGGAAGAAATATGCTAAAATTGGGAATCTGAATGGATGTGGACTTGTGCTGGAGACTTCAGCTTCATCCATCTGATTTACTAGCAGAGACTGAGATCTGCACACTGATATTCCTATGATTTTTTTTTTTTTGTTTGTTTATTTGTTTGTTTTTTTTTTAATAAAAATGAAATTAATAATATGAGATCACATTGCAGCTTTCCAGGACAGGGATTTTATACCCTATATTCCTACCTGAGGAAGCTTTGTTACTCATGCCACAGTGTGGTGTGAGGGTGGCTGAACAATGTGGGCTGTGAATCCTGCTGAGCTCATGTTGGAGGTGTGTAGAGAGTATCTCTGGAGTGATACTGTTCACAGGACACAGCCCATGGAGGGAGATATCACCTGAACTACTCATGGGTTTCACCTTGGAGTAAACCAGTTGTGTCCTCCTAAATGGAGTCACAGGAGAATTTTTGCCCTCGAGCAGCATGGGCAGGCAGCAAACTGACACCAGAGCAGAGAACTGCAGCACAGGWGTRCYCTTCAAAACCRGGGAGCATCCTTAATGGAAAATGCWCACCATCACCRCTGCTTTTGTCTGTTTCTGRCCYCTTTGCTGGTGAGAACATTGCAGAGGGTGCTCACCAGTCCACAGGTTTGTATCTCCTCCAGCCTACAGCAAGGCAACACTCCCACGGAATGCAAAAAACATGGAAACCCCATGGATATTGGAGTGGGCTGTACCTGCTCTCTGACACTGTGCCAACTCCAAATTATGGACTTTAATCTTTTGAGTGCTCCTCGGCCCTGGCCCAAGCCARCACAGAATTCCCAGGGCAGGTGGCTCCCTGGGCACAGCCGTGCCTTGCTCCAAGGGGTGATATTCCCCAGTGGAGAAGAGGAATTTGAGGTTTTGGCAGCCTGCCTAGGAAATAACACCTTGGCAGGCAATGTCATCAGGGCAGGCAGTGCCATTGGGGCAGTTGGGATCAATGCAAGGAATGTTAAGGATTGGGATGACAGTGGGGCTGCTGCAGGAGGTACAACCACAGGCAACTCCTGCTTCTAACAACAGAGTCTTGGAATCATGTTGATCCCTGGGAGATGCCAGTTCCAGCCTCCTGCTCCAATGGGGATGGCTATTCAGGGGTTTATCTAGTTGAATTTTGTCTGCATCTGAGGACTGTGACCCTGCTGCCACTCTGGGCCCCTGTTCCAGCATTTGACTGCCTTCTTAGTGAAAAAAATAGTTTTAAAAAGGTTTAATTTCTCACTACCTCAAAAGATCTGTGGCATTTTTTTTTCGCAGGAGGAAGGCACTCAGTGAACTGCCAGAGCTCACTGTGCTCACAGAGGGGGAAGTGGAAGGTCATGAATCCAGACAAAAGTTGTTTTCTGCAGGATGACAAGGCACAGAGTGTGGCCATGGCCACTGGCTTGTGCTGGGGCTGGTGAAGGAGGATCTCATGGATGGCACCTGGGGTTGCTCCCTGGCCTGGAAAAGTGTCAGGGACTGGCATAGAGGGCACGGCTGCTGCTGTTGAGAKGTGTCAGAGCACTGTTAAATGGGGACACACTGCTGGCATGGGGGACAGGGCTGATGGTGGAGGACAGGGGGCCATGGGCTGACAAGGGACACCACTAACAATGGGACATGGCTGAGAGAGGGACACCACTGACAATGGGACATGGCTGAGAAAGGGACACCACTGACAATGGGACATGGCTGAGAGAGGGACACCACTGACCATGGGACATGGCTGAGA